GGGGGGGGGGGGGGAGGAAAGAAGCCAGATATTGTGGAAACCAAAAAAAAAAAAAAAAAAAAAAAAACCAAACCCAAACCCTGTCATGGTTCCTCAGCGCCCCCTTGTGGAAGTCAGACACATGCTGCAGCATGGTCTCTGTGATGCTGGCCTCCAGCTCTTCACACTTCGGCCTGCTCTGAGGCCTACGGGGCTGCTGTGAGGTGCCGAGACTTCAGCTCCTGCTCTGACGGAAGGCCCCCAAAGACATTCTGGTCTCCTTGGATTGGGGCTATCGTTCCCCCAAACTGATTACTCTTTCTTTTCCAGCGCATGGTGGTCTAGGGAGGAAGCCACAGTTCCCTTTAAGAAGATGAAAGATCAATGGTGCCTGTTTCTAGTGTTCATTGTTTGGATGCAGAGGACTGAGCCTGGGGCCTCAGTGCTGGGCAGGGAACTCTACCGCATATGTAGCTGTATCTACCATATATATGTATACATGTTCGCCACATAGGTATCTATATCTACCTTATATATGTATATATATCACATAGATATGTATCTACCACATATATATGAATATTTTGTCTACATGTATGTGTGCTATTTACATGCCTTTCTCCCCACTGGCTGGAGTTGAGGATGGTTGTGAACTACCCTGTGGGTGCCAAAAACTGAACCCAGGTCTTCTGCAAAAGAAGCAAATGCTCTTAATTTCTGATCTATCTCTCCAGCCCTGTTTTTTTAATGTATTTAGTGTGGGGGGCACGTGCGTGCCATGGCATGCACATGGAGAGTTCAGAGGCTAACCAGCGGGTCCAGGGCTTGCGCTCATGTCGTCAGGGAGCAGACACCGTCACCAGCTGATCGGCTCTCAGCCCCTCTCATTTTGAGACGGACCTTACGAAGTTTACAGGCTGGTCATGCTTTTGAGATCCTCTTGCCTCAGCCTTCCTAGTACCTGAGCTTGTAGGCATCCTCTATGCCGGCACCTTCTCTTCCTCTGCTCCCTGATCCTGCTGAGGGCTCTGGGACTTGGAAGTGGCTGCATCTTGCAAATGGCCTGAGGGTCTTGTGTCTCTGCTTAGGATTCAGGGTGGGTTTTCCTTCCCTTGACCTGCAACTCTTTCTCTATGCCCTATGGCCTCACTTAGTGGCGGAGGCACTCTGCGAGAGTACCTCACACAGATTCAGAGGGACTCAGATCCCCTGATGACACAGCCCTACGGGTGACACCGTGGT